CGCTCATAGCTGCTTCTGATCGTGGAGCGTACAGGGGTTTTCCGTCAGAAGGTGCTAATGAGGATGATCCGCTGTCAAAAGAGCGGTTCTCTTTCCCTGAAAGCTTTGTGTATGTGTATGTGTGAGAGAGGCTTTGGCCAAGTGGCTCATGGGAGTTTCCTGTTATACGCAAGGACGCGAGGGGTGGGAGCAAGGCATTCACACGAGTCATCTGGCGGCCGGCCGATGTTTCACGGTAGGCCCGCAGGTTGTTTCCTGCTACTAGATCCTATGCGCCCCCCCCCTTCCTACTTTGCGTTTAACGCCTGGTAATACTACGGACTATAGGAGGATTTGACTCTTTTTTTTCTGTAGATTTTTTTCCGTGTAATAAGAGAAATGGAAAAACATTGCAATTTGACAAAGCTCTCTGCTTGCCACACCTAAAGGGGTGAAATTGTGTAGTCTTACACACACAGTATTTTATTTTTATTTATTTATTTATTTGATTTATATCCCACCCATCTGGTATATTTATACCACTCTGAGCGGCTAGTACATCCCAACAATTCTTATTGTAAGTGGACGCTGACCTCTGTGGGCTCCATTGAACTTCAGAAGAAAAATCAGGTTGAGTTTTGTAGATTACAGTAAATATTTTGTCTGTGTAGATCATGCAAAACTATAAATAGTTCTAAAAGAAATTGGTACGCATTTAATTGTCCTGATGTGTAACCTGTATTCTGGATGTTAGGTAGGAGACAGAGCTATATTTTACAGTACCTCCCTGTTACTTCAATCTACTGTATATGCAGGCCATAGTTTATAAACAACGGGCTTCGATTCAGAAGATACCATATTAACAGCAAAACAAACAAACAAACAAAAACACCAGCAAAAACAGACCAAGGACAAAATCGTTTCTTACCAAGGCATTCCTAGTTACTAAATATACATATGAAAGCTGGACCACAAAGAAAGCTGACAGAAGACAAATGTATTCTAGATCAAATAAAGCCTGAATTGCCACTAGAAGACAGAACAGCTGAACTGAGGCTACCATCTTTTGAACATATCATGAGAAGACAACACTTGCTGGAAAAGGCAATAATACAAAGAAGAATGGAAGACAGTGTGAAAAGGAAATATCTAAATGAAATGGATTGACTCAATAAAGAAAGCCACAGTTTTCAGTTGGCAAGAGGTGGCAGGGCTGTTATTAAATCATTAATTCATATGGTTGCTATAAGTCAGACATATCTTTGCAGCACTTAATTACAGAATATGTTAATATATGTTTGTTCAACCCTGCAGGAATAGAAAACCACCAATATAGATTAATTAGCAGATGTGGAGAAAACCAATTCAATCATTAATTAAAGGTTGCAAGCAAGAGTTTAGTTTTGTTCCTAATAGTGTGGTTTTTTGCTATTTCATAACATGGCTCAGTCATCCAATTTATTGTTACAGGTGAAAGGGACTCTCTTCCATTTAGCTAAATGTGATAGAGTGGAAAAATAGTGATTTCTTCAATAGGTTGTAGTTGCTCCAGTTTATTAAGGATGTTTCCCATCACCAGCAGGGATTTCAGAAGCAATTTCCTTGCAATTTAGCAAGAATCTACTGAAAGGATTAGTGTTTCCTAGCAACAAGTTAGAAGCAGCTACACTGGTATTGATTTTTTGTGTGTGACAATTACATCATTCTGATGGGTTCTCCCCCCTCAAAAATCCTCTGCTGGGATGCTTAAAGGACAAGAAACAATGATTAAAAGCAGCTACAAGTCTACATACAGTGCTATAGCATTTTTCTGCCCCTGATTTCAAACAGGCCAATCCAATGCATGGTTATTCAGAAGCAAGGTCTCCGTGTGCCAGACCCCACAAGGAGGCGTTTTATAAGATTTCCCTTACAGATCTACTTAAATGCAAATTTACAGGGCAGATTACAGAAGCCTGTAGGTCGCTGTGACCAGCCTTGCTAGCTAATCACTTTTTCCAACTCTCTAGTCCCTTTGCAGGGCTATCCTTAAGCCCAAAACTTTATTTATTTATTTATTTATTTATTTATTTATTTATTTATTTATTTATTTATTTATTTATTTATTTATTTATTTATTTATTTATTT